CATTTTATTTCTTAATCAATCAAAAAACATTATTTGATTTTTTAAAGAAATAAAATTAAACTATAACTTAACATTTGAATAAAATTAAAAACACAAGCTTTCCTAAATTGGCAAAGAGAAACAATTCCGATTAAAGTTGAATGATGTTTATTGTAGAGTCACAAGATAGAAAGTGAATTTGCTAAATTCACAATCTATCCGGACTCTACTTCGGAATTAACCAGATTGTTATAGTTAGTTTTAAATTCTCTGAATTTTAAAACTTTAATGTAACAGTACTACAATCTATTTTAACAAATGATTTAAGCATCATTTTTTGATTATCTCTTGTTTTATGTCTTGCAGGAAATGAGTACACTTTAATTGATGAAAACTTATCTTGGACTGATGCTATCGAATTTTGCCAAAAGAATGGAAGCCAATTAGCGAATCTCGGTGAAGCTGTGGCTACGCTAACTACCGATGAATGTCTTGAAAGGTTTGATACAATGTGGACAGAGACGCTCGCTTCTGCTAGTCCATATTTATCTCTGTTAGGTAAGACGGAATTGATAAATCAGAGAGATGTGTTTTTGTTTTAGTTTTGTTTTCGGTGCTAAATTTTTCTTCAGCATTCAATTACTTTAGTACTGGATTACACAATTAGGGACCCTTGTAGTAGGTAGACTCAATCTTTAAAAATTTTAATTGCCGAATTTAAGAAATCAAATAGAGAAATAATTATTGCTTTCAATATGATGGGGTTACCATCGAGAAAAAAAATTGTTTATATAACAAACAATAATGTTGATTAATTTGTTACATTTTTCAACACACATTTGTCACGTAATTTGAAATTGCAGGCTGTTTCAGTAATCAAGGAGACATCCCTCATTCTAATCTTAGCAGAGCCTCGGTAGTGGACTGTCAGTTTGAATGTTCCAGTTCATCTTACTTTGCAATATCGGTAAGAAGTTCTAAAGCGTTTGTGACCAGAAAAATCTCAAAAATACAAAACCGTACAATGAACAGTTAGATCAAGACGATTTTTTCATAAATGGTTTTAAGTTATCTAGTATATAATACTCTAATGCCTTTGTTCAAGTATAACTATCCACTTAAAATACTTTAGAAATCAGTAAAGTTTTGAACATGAAAACACTGATGAATTTCAAAAAGTGAAATGGAGTTAGACCTTAGTAATAAAAGGAGAAGTGCCTTTTTCCGAATTTATTCTTCAGCATAATTTGAGATTTAATATTTAAAAAATATGACAACAAAATTGAAACATAAATTACAAGTATCTATAAAACATAGCATCTTACTGGATCTAAGTCTTAAACAGCGCATTAAGGCATGATTGTTATTATTAATTCCACCATATAGCACCTCTTCCACAATTTGCTTCAGTCTTTTTATGCTTTGAAAATGCTTTTATAGATTATTATTATTTAAAATGACAGGATACAGAATGTATACATGAGCTAAACATATCTATGTATTTTCAAAAATTTAGGAACAATAATTTGGATAGTAAAGGTACAAATACTAATACTTAAAAACGCAAGGTACCTTACCTACTGATAATTTTTCAAGATATTCTAAATTTAAACTTATAATACTATTACATGTTCTTAGACAAAAACAAAAACAGCAAGTGTTACCAGGGGTTTTGAAAAGATATCAAATTATGAAAATTTTTGCATTTATCAAAAAAAATGTACAAAAATTACAAAACATAAATTCTAGATTTTCATTAAAATTTGTTTTAGAAGAGGTGTACAAATCCATATATAGACATTAAAAGTATAACTGCGCACAGGTCCTTCATTTAGTGGAACTCTTTAACTCTATAGGGAAGAACCCAATAAAGTTCAAACTACGTTGCGTATGACCTTAAATAAAGCACAATTTTGATATATTATGAAGATCTTCAAAATTTAATTTAACTTTCTTTATTTTCTATGTTTCAAAGGACACAGCATGTTCATGTCTTGAAAATTTCACAAGCAGTGCAGATCTTGTAGATGCCAGTCTGTGTAACATTACTTGTGATGGTACATACTGTGGAGGGCAAGACACCATGAATATTTACTATGTCGGTAATGTATTATAGAAGGTGAAATTTCTACTTATTAATGATTAACTTATTTCTGTTTATTTGTGTAGATTCTTTAAAATTGAAAAACAATGAAAGGAATTTCAGATATTTCTAAGAAATTATCGGTATTTCACTATGAATATATATAACTACCAGTGGTAATTGAATATATAACTACCAGTGGTCTGCTTTCTGGCTTAGTGTAGCGTAAATAACTTTCTTCCACATTCAATGAACAAATGTTAAATGTCTCTATTTTCAGAATTCTATATAGTGACAATTATTTTTTTTTCATTCCAGTAGACAAAGGCTTTTTCCAAAACAAGACAGTCTACTGGAATCCTAATTTTACCTCCTGTTTATCATACCAGTGTTTAGGTCATAGGAATGTTTATAAGGAAGCGGATTGTGATGATATGTCCATTTCACTGTCAGATTGTTGTGAGTATGAAAAAGCAATTATTAAGTACAAGTTACTATTTGATATTATTATTCATGCCTGAATATAAGCTTCAAAAGTTCATTAGATATCAGTCAAAATATGTCAATATCGGGTAATATTTACAGTATAATAATATTTTATAAACTCTAAAAAAATCTTTTATTTTTTAACAGGTAACTATTTTTCATGCACGTTTGAACCAGGGGAACCCTGTTTTCTTTATCAGGATGACGATGACGATTTTGATTGGACAATACAGAATGTAAAAAAAATCTTCTGTTTTTACTACGAAATTATGTTACATTTGTTCGGAATACTGCAAATTTTGAGGAAGAGCCAAATCAATATACTTTTTCATGAACACACTTTATCCAAGTGTGCTTGGTTTTTAGTATGTGTTTAGTATGTCTCAGCAAAAAGCATGCTCCAAATGTGATCATTTTTAAAACCCAGGCAGGCCCCTCAATCATTAATCGATGTTGCAGGGATTTCAACGACCTCGTTTCAATGAAGAAATTCCTAAATTACATCGTCATTATAATGATATAATACAGTATAACCTTGAGTCATATTTTGGCTGACATGTTTCATACCAATCGTAAGGCCTAGATGTGTTTGTACTAAAATTTACTACGTTCCGTCTATTTCATCATTATATAGGACAGGTGACAATTACTCCTTCTAGGCACCAGCGCCCAGGATCATGGAAACAAACTTAGAGTTAAGTCAACTTTTTAATCAACAACAAAATCTTTATTTGTTGTTGAATTAATCTCTAAATTTGCAGATAGAACACTTTTTGGGAACAGTCTTGAAAAAATAAATTGGTATACTTGACTTCTACAAGATTATAGTACAAAATTAAAATTTTGACTTAAGCTTAAGACGTTTCATGATTCCGGGACCTGATCCCACCTCTGAAACTCCTAGAGGTCCGTGTTGATGCCTTGTTCACGTATTTGTATCATTTGCAGTTTTCATGGGATCGATTATCCTCATCCTTTATCATGTATACATTAGTGCATGAAATGATTTCTTTGATATTCAAAGCATATTTTTTCTCTTTTTAAGCCCCAATAATTGAAGATTAGGGTGCATATAGTTTTTGCTCTGTCCGCCCGTCTGTCTATTAGTCTGTTTGTCTGTCTGTTTATCCACAAAAACTTTAACCTTGCCCGTAAATTTTGAGCGGGTGGAGCTTGGCTTTCATATTTCAAAGGTGTATTCCTTGTGATAGGACCCTTCTTTGGGTACCCAAATTTGACTTTTTGGCCTTGGAGTTTGACCCATTTTTATAAAAAAAATTACCAAACCTTAACCTATATGCCATAACTTTTGAACAGTTTGTGCATGGGTTTTCATACTTCAAATACGATATGTGTTCATTGTGACAAGACCTTTTAATGATCATAAATATTTTTTTATCTTTTGACCTTGACTTTATATATTAATCCACTTTTCAAAATTTTCATCTCAGACATAACTTTTGAACATTTAGTACATTTAGTTTTCAAACTTCACAGTGTATTCCTTATCTCAAGACCTTCCTTTGGATACCAACAATTTTGACCTTTTTGGCCTTGGAGTTTGACTTGCATTTGAGAAACTTCAACTCTCGCCATTAGCTTTCATATCGGGACATCAGTGTTTCACAATCACATCTTGATATAATTTTGTTTAATTTTGAGCACATAGACCAAACGAAACTTTATAAATCTAAAAGCACAAAAACATTTAAAAATTTTATCATTCTACGTCTCCTGTAGAAGGCCACAAAGTATGGCCCAGTCCAGTCTTATGAAGGATCGTACTTTGCCTTTGTTGACGATGAACAGTATGGGGAGGGAAATTCGACAACGCTTGTTTCAAATGTCGGATTTACAGGTATGGTACATTTACGCTTGTAATAATTCATAACACTTTTCATCCACTGCCAAAAAGAAAAGAAAATATACTGAACAATTATAACATATGATTGTAACTAAGTTGACTTATTTGAGTAATGTATGCAGGGTGCGCCATGATATAATGATCATTTTTGTCATGGTATTGACAAATTTTAGGACGTTAGAGTTTTAAATGATCTTTGGGCTTCTGACAATATAGTACAATTTCCTTTCTGATAACTCAGTTTAAATATCTGAGAGTAAAAAGAAGATGAAACTAAAAATATTTCATTGACACAACATACATGTAATAGATTTTAAAATTAGTGGGGGGTATTCATTTGGGGGAAATCATTTAACTCAAAAAATGAGGGAAAAAAAGGTTGGAGTGGGGAAGGACCCTCCTTATATATGTTCGCTATTAATACAAAGTCAACAATGTATGGTAAATGTTTTTCTACATCAGTTGTACTAGAAAATGTTTCCATTTGAATATTCCTGATTCGTAATTGGGATTTTTCTTTTGAAAGATGGTCAGTGGTGTATTCACTTGCGATACTACATACAAAATGTATCGACAGATGCAAGGCTTGAGGTTTTCAAAAGTGGAGAACAGAATCCCTTTTTTATCTTTAAAAAATCTGCCAATAAAGAATGGAAATATGCGTACAAAAATATTATAATGAGTTATGATGAAAGAGTAAGTAACCGAAATTTACATTTATTAATTATTATAATCATCCCCTTTAACGTAATGGTTTAGAGGTCATCTATTTTAAATGCTGTTAAAAAAATATATTTATTGATAATTAACTATTTATTATTACTCTAAATATCAGGTTATCTTCAAGTTTACACGTGGTAAGGAGACGTCTGATTTCGCTTTAGATGACGTCATTATGATAAAAGGGTCATGTGGTGAGATATATTTCTTGACCTTTGATTGAAGTTTTAAATAATAGAGAAACATTCAAAAAGCTGAACAAATGCTTGATTTCAGGAAAATTAATATTATAAAAATGTAATAATAATAAATATAAATATGCATGTATTTCAGAAGAGACAGTGACATCAATGTTTAAAATGAAAGGCGAAATTAATTGCAATTTTGAAGGTAATGAAGATGTTTGTTTTCAACAAAACAAAAAAGGCTCTACTTGGACGATAACTCGGGTACGGTATAAAAAAAGTCAGTTTATTTTGCATGTGGTAATGAATGATACAGATATAAGTTATAAATACAAAATCATCCACAAATAGTTCAGAGTAAAATTAACATATAATTACATTAGTTATAAATGAACACAAAATAATGCACAAATGTAAGATATTACATAATGGAGTTTTACATGATAAGCTTTTGCAGAATTACTTTAAGTTTTTGTGTATCTAAGGATGGATCGACACCCACAGAAGACACGGGACCAAGTAAAAACATTGAAGGAAATTATTTCCTATACTTTGCAGCAAACAAATTTGGGAATCGTGGAAAGGCTGTTCTCAGTTCTTCATTTTATCTAGAAGGTATTTTTTTTACGAACATTCCTTTCTGCATTGTAACATTCCGATAACACATTTCTTAAAAACCATTTTATCTTACCCAATGATGAAAGATTTTATTGAAATATGAATATAAGATATACATGTTTAAGCTCCGTCTTTGTCCCTTCTAGAACTTTTCATATATATTTTCAAGATTTTAAATCAAAGTCAAGACAAAATTGGAATAGGAGGTTAGTTGGTTGATTATCCTTGCTGGTGGATGGCTGCAAATTTTAGACCTCTACGGGTGTTGTAGAGTAGGATTTCCTCATTAGTAAGCTTTTCCTCCGGAAATCGTACTCTAGAGTAGGATTTTCCCCCGAGGGGAAATCTCACACCAGAGGCAAATTTCCCCCTCTGTCATTCTCAGAGTAGCCCCCCCCCCCCCCCCCCCGTTATAGAGTCAATATAAATGTGTATAACAAGTTTCTGGGAGTATTGCAGAAGCAATACTTGTCCCCTACCGGCAAGTTTAATGTAGTTAAAAATTGAAAAGTAAATTTCATTAAGTGGAACAATTTGCAAACTTGAAGTAAACCTACCAAAAATTAGCTCTCAATATCTCCAATCGTTTAGAAAAACATTGCGGAAAACATTTAAAAATTGAAAAGGTCGTAATTCCTTAAAATTGAAGCGAAACGAAATGCAAACTTGAACGTTAACTCATCCAAAAATCAGCTCAATGTCTTTAAGCACTTAGAAAGAAAAGTGTGGAAAACCATTTGGGACACAGACAGACAGAAGGACAGCTAGACGGATGGACAGACGCAGAGGAAACTTATAATCCTCTCCAGTTTCATAAATTTATTTGATTTAAAAATGGTTTGACGGTACGTAGCCATGAAAAATCGGATTTAAAATTTCCATGAAAATTTCGGAAAATTGACTCTGGTGTGGGATCTCTGTAGGTGAATTCCTACTATAGAGCCAGTTTTCCGGAGGAAAAGATTTTAGGAGGGAATCCTATTCTACAAGACCGGTACTACAGCTCCTATAGGGAAGTGATGGATCTTATTCATGTCAGCGCCTTCTGTGACACAGGACATCGGTTTATTTATAGGGTCGCAAAGACGACAAAGAAAACATATAACTGAATACGAATTAAATTCTAGAATGCCACTTAGTTGTCAGTTTCAAAGAAAATAATGAGTGCCACAAGGAGTATATGGAAATCTTAATAAATAATGTTTAACCAAAATAGATTGATTTTAATGTCGTCTGTTTTGAAACTATGTGAAAACAATTTTCTTCTAATGGTAGATATTAACATCACCTTTAGTATGCAGTATAGCATGTATGGTGAAGACATTGGACAACTTTATGTTTACCTAAAGGATGAAAGGAATACCACTAGAGATATTTTTAAAGAGGAAGGTGATCAAAGAGAAGGATGGAAAAATTTCACTACAAATATTACGGTAGAAAGCAAAAATAAGGTGGGCTTTAAAAAAAGTATATAAATGTACAAATAAATGAAAATATTTGCCGAAGTACATAGTAATATCGAGGTTTTCAGTGCTGTAATCCCTCAATGAAAATGACAAATATAAAGTGTAACATGATGTACAAATGAAATAGTTTCTAAGATTGATGATAACTTAATTGAGGATCAAAATGTATTAAAGAAACGAAACAAAACTTTCAAATTTTTTTTTCAAATCAAAGTATATACATGTACATGTAATATATAATGTGTAACTGCATATGATCTAATTTAAATTTATAAAGCACCACAGGCAATTATTTCGCTTCACATACATAGGCGTCAAGGAAAATGAAAGTAAAAATGGTATATAATACATATCTTTGCAAAATTGTAAAGGGGATATTGCAATTGTTAACATATCATTGAGTAATTTATCTAGACATTGTTTGCTTCGAGAGACTTATCATTAAATCGTTTTAACCAGGTAAAACAATTTTTGCATAACTTCCGGTTGGAGCTACATGTATAATACATAAAACCAGACACCTAATGGATATTTTACATCCCCTCTCGAGAACTCATATTTCTCAGGGCCATTGAGCTTCCCACAGTGGGATTCGAACCCGCGACGTCACCTTACTTCGCGACTCTAGAGGAACTCTCGACATTTACCAGGTATGTTGTATCTAGTAAATAAGGCTGAAAATTTAAAAATTAGAAAATACTGTACATATTGAAATTATGCAGGCATTATACGCTCGTGCATATCAATTCGGCTGACAAACATGTAAATACAGCGTTAGTCTGAGAAGGAAGCATAATTTATCGGTAATTAAATTTTATATTGAAAGTGCTATATAAATTTTATTTGAATAAAGTCCACATTCCACATGCAGTTACATATATATAATTATATACATGTCATTTGACAAAAAAACATTTTGATAGTTTTGTTTTATGGACTTTAAATCTGAGATTGACTAATGCTCGTTATATCCATATCCTTCTTCGTTTCGTTTCGAGGGTTCGTATTGAATGAAAATAGATCATATGCAATTACACATTATATAACTATATATGTACATGTATATACTTTGATTTGAAAAAAAAACATTTTTTGTTTCGTTTCGTTTCGGCTGGTTTCGTTTTGATATTTCGTTTCGTTTCGGTAGGTTTCGTTTCGTTTTAGTTCATTTCGTTTCGCACTTTACAACCCGATGATAACTTAATTGAGGATCAAAATGTATTAAAGTTTATTGAATAACCCTGAATTATAGTTTCTAATTTAAATTTTAAGCTTTACATCGAAGGGAGTAAAAATGGTAGTGGAAATAAAGGGGATATTGCAATTGACAATATCAAGATTATTATCATTGAACCAGGTAAAACAATTTTTATAACTTTTTTACATCCATAAATATTTTACATCCCGTTCGAGAATTTTTCAGTCAAAATAGGAACTTCGCCATTTACTAGGGAAGGACTTCAAATTTAGATCTTTACTCGGCTCTCGGGGTATTTGAACAGTAAAGCATTTATCCTGTCTCCTCCTATCGGGAAAAGCGGCCTCGGTTTTTAAGATCACGTCCGAAAGACCGGCAACTGTCATTTCAACGTACCGAGCACTAGGCGAATGAACAGTTGCTGAGTATTTTTAATCGACACAAGTCAGTCTCGGCCTTGGTTTAAACCTTTGAACATTAATTTTATCCACGAAATCCGAGAGAACAGGAAAATCTGAGTTAAAATAAACATAAACTGTATTGTAAATTTTGTACTTCATGGAATATACATTTGTATGATGTATACATGTTAAAATGGCCCAATACGACACCAAAACCAATGTGCTGCCTTTTTTCTAGTATCTCTTGAATGAATCTCTGTTTCCAAGGCTCAGAAGACTATTTTTGTTTTAACAATGAAATACTTTTCACTTAACATAAACAATAGATGGAAGTCAAATATTTATTTCTTTACTTTAATTTCTAGAGAACAAAAACTCATGGTTGGCCTATAATGAAAGATGTGCGAGAATTCTTGGTTCTTACATTATCAATAACGAACAAATAACGGACCTGCCATGTCTATCTGATAGCTTAGAGAGGTGGACTGGAATCATAAGGCCACAGCGGAGAACTTCAGTCGTTACAGGTACCCAATCACTGTTCTAAACACAAACACATTATTTATTTCTTGCAAACGTAGAAACCAAAAATATATTTTAGAGGTAATATATTTGAATAATGTTTTTTTTTTTTTTAAATATAAATGTATAATTATCCAACTTTTCTTCACATATTTTATTGTACATTGATAATACATCTTTTTTTCCATTTTCTCCGAAAAAATGCTAAAAAAAATCAATTAGAATAATTAAGAGCATTAAGGGGAAGAAGGACCTTTACCTAAAAAAAATACCCGTCGTTCAATTTTTTTCATATAATGTATATCTTTAATTTAGTATGTGCCACATACCTTAAAGCAGATATATCAATAGGTTTCCAGACTTATTTTTGAGATATTGAGTGACAAATACTATACGCAATAGTGTCTTAGTGAAGTTTTGATTCTCCATGTTTCTAGGCCCATTACTCGGTCCATAGCGGAATTTTTTCAGCATAGATAAAAAATATGTCAGCAAACATGTGTCTATTAAAATATTACAGAGTTTAAGTAGGGTTGAAAATTCGAAAAAGCAAGATTCTTTTGTCACACCGCATCTGGAGACGGAAAAATACGTACCGGTCCGGTACTGTTTAAGACAACTTAAACAACCAAAAAATTTATTTGCAAAAAATCCTATCATTCAATGTTTGAAAATTTACCTTGAAATGCAAGTTCGTTAAGTTATTGATTAACTGTAAAAATATCGATTGGTGAAGCTGAGCTCAATATTGCACACGGCATAGTTAAACAAGACATGAGAATGAGAAAAAACGTGTCATGTTTACATTTCTCGAGTACGGGAAAACCCAACTATGACGTCATACATTTGCGAAATAAGTGAAATAAGACTTATTTACAATATATTTCCGTCAACAACCATGTAAAAATATTTTTTTGTGTTCTCTAATTCACAAAATACCCCACCATGTACAGATCATGTCCCGTTTTTATGATATTATACTACCCTGTTTTACCGTGTATAATCTTAAATACTGTACTAAGAGATCTACTATGACGTCATTGACTCGTTTGACGCGTGTAGAGAAACAGATGAGTAGATCAATCTATTCCGTAATTTGATAGTATTTGCAAGAAAGTTTTAATGTTTTTAGATATTTTGATACAAGATGGTGAACTCCAACAAACAGTCTAAAAATAATATACGTACTGTGGTTTTAATCTTGTTTTGTACATATTTAATCAGAGATTATGACGTAATTAGATTGTCATCAATTTTATTTTTGGTACACAATTTTGACAATTCGAGCAGCCGTTTTGTGCATTTTTGATTATGACGTCAGTTACGTCACAAAGCCAACGTTGCGTTGTTTCCCGTTTAAGGTAGATCGCGGGTTTGCTTTTGTCATCAATTTTGGTACACAATTTCGACGATCCGAGCGGCTGTTTTGTGCACATTTGATTGTGACGTCAGTTACGTCACAAAGGCAACGTTACGTTGTTTCCCGTTTAATTCTCTGCAAATGACTCTAAGTCTGTACGAGTCAAGTCGATTTATACAAAGTACATATTGTAAAGATTGTAAAGACGTACGTATTATACGTAAATCTCGTACATGTTTTACAATTGAATTTCAGTCTGAATTCTAATGTGATATTATGTGTAATGTCTTAGGACAAATTAAATACAATACCAAATGAAAGGAATAATTTATATTGTAAGTTTTACTAAACTGCTAAAAGTCAATCAAAATAAGTCAGCGTAAAAGTTATGGTATGCAAAAAGAAAGTTATAAATAAAATTGCTTAGCGGATAACTTGGGGGGGGGGGGGTTGTATGTGTGCACGTTATTAGCAACTCAGGGAAACATGCGTATTGCATCAGGACTGCCAATCAAATCCAGGGGGATAATATGCGTATGATTTTCAGGATGGAATAAATAGTGAACACTAAAAACGTTTAAATTTAATTACAAGTATTTTCTTGTTTTGTTTTTTTTTCCTTATCGTCATCATTATTACAATTATTTGGTTATAATGTATTTTTTAAAATTTCGTTTAGTCTCCTTGTTTTGCTGGCTAACAAATTTTGGAATACATGTAAAACCCAAATTTATACAAACATTTGGACTGCAAGACCTATATGACACTGTAAACAATTTTCGGGTATCGTTTTTTTCTATATTTTATAACAGAAGCTCTAAGTGTAAAAGCTAAAGGCAAGTGTTTTACATTTTGCGAATGAATATTTGATTCATAGAGTTCGAAATTAACAAATGTTTGAGAGCTAGGGCTATATACAAGCTTGCGACTAAAAAGAAAGAACATTACAGGTAACACCCCCATCCCCAGCCCCTGGTAATTTCCTCAGTATCGGGATGTTTTTTTCATTTCCGTTTTCGAATAAAGTGATCAAATTTATGTGTTATGCCTGAAATCCCATTGACTATGAACTTCCTAAAAATACAGGTACTAATATTTTATAACTAGCGTTGCTGTCCCTGCATGTTAATTCTCTTGCACAAGGAATATTCATACCGTTCATTCTTACTTTGTGATCAGAATATGAATTTCACAACACTACTGAAAATAAGTTGATGGTAATCATATGTCTCCGCAATAAGTTATATGATGAAAAAAATTAAATGCTGCATCTACCTTTTATATCTTGCAAAATGATGCCAAAATCCAAATGTCAAGAGTCGTACTGTAAATGTGACTACGTTCAACATATGACGTTGTAGACATAAATAACGCCATAAACGCAACATTTTAGCAATATAAAAGCAAACTTTGAAATTATTTAGCAAAAAAATCTAGCGAGAAGACATATTGATTTTTTTAAATCAATAGTTTTGATTTCACCTCATCTTGACATTTTGAAATTCCTGAATAATTCGTCTACGTCTTTAAAAAGTTATCCAACCTTTTTAAAAGAAACTCTTACTACAAAATTGGCTTTAAAACGTCATTTTTCCATATACTTCAAGAGTAAAGCGTTAAAAATGTACTAAAAACTATACCGCGTTTACAGTAACATAGCATTAAAACTACTTAGGCAAATTTAATAAAAATTGCAAATCATACGCAGTAAATTCTAAGGAACATTATATCAAATTTTCAGGATATGTTTTCTCGTAAGAATGTTTATGCAGTAAACCCGCGACCTACCTTAATTCTCTGCAAATGACTTCAAGTCTGTATGAATCAAGTCGATTAAAACAAAGTGCATGCTATTGTACGTAAACCTCGTACATGTTTTATAATTAACTTTCAGTCTGAACGCTGATGTGATTATATGTAATGCCCTAGGAAAAATTAAATACAATACCAAATGAAAGGAATATAATTTATATTGTAAGTATTACTAAACTGCTAAAAGTCAATCAGAATAAGTCACCGTGAAAGTTATGGTATGCAGAAAGAAAGTTATCATAGATAAAATTGTTTATCGGAAAACTTGAGGGGTCACTCTAAAAAAAGTTTTACTTGTTGTTTTTAAAATAAGATATTAGATTAAGAAAAACTAGTAATTATTAGTAATCCATTTAGTCAGAATAGCAAGTAAATGACTATCATGGTTAGTAATTGTAAACATACTTAGTAATAAGGACGAATTCATTTACTTATAAAATCATTTACTAAAGCAAGTATCAATAGAATTACTTAAACTATAGGAATTATATTACTTTAAGTTAGTAAATGAACTACTCATTTTTGTTAAATTATTATTACTTAATTTAGAGATAATATGCTTTCATGATTTAAACAAATTTGATGAATTAGCATTTCCATATAAATGATGAATTATGGCTGAAATTCTTGACTAAAGATTTTTAAAGAATTTTCCTATATATTTCAATGTAAAACTTACTAAGTAAATTAAATACTTATCATGATTTGAACAAATTTGAATCTACACTATTATTTACTAGAAACACTGCATTATGGCTTTGTCATTCTTAAAGAAGATTTTTAAAGAATTTTCCTTTATATTTCTATGTAAAACTTTGATCGGCCATTGTGGCCCCACCATGCCCTACCCCCGGGGGGTCATGATTTGAACAAACTTGAATTTACACTACCTGAAAACTTCCACTATATGATGGAAACAGTTATACTTTCAATTTCTTTTTCCAATTTCTATGTAAAACTTGTTTTATTATATATTACAATAAAACATTTGATTTATGACTTTTGAAAGCCTTAAAAATTTTTAAAGAAGTTGTATATTTTCTATGTAAAACCATTTTAAAAATGGTTAAACATTTCAAGTACTGCAATATGCATTTTTATTAGTGTGACTTTTTTTTTTACATGAATTTTCCTATATATTTAGAAAAAAGATAACTCCTCCTCAGATGATTTGACAATTAATATGGAAGCCAAGCATACTATTTTAAATTTCAAGAATTCAATCTTGATAGTGATTAGACTACCATATTTAAGTAATTACTGCTCTGAATTCCCCTTGATTTAGTAAATAAATTTTTGTTTTAAGTAAATCAATTAAATACAATTTCCTGGCACAAGATGTTTTGTGAAAATACGCCCCCAAATTTGGCAACATAGCAAAATGAGTTAGCCCTTTCTTATATGAAATTTAAATTACTTTGGTATTTGGTTGAAATTCTCAGCGGTTCTTGAAAGAAGTCGAAAAAAAAGTTTACAAGGTTATTGGACAGCTATCTAATGAAAGGTCAAAATGTGACAAAAAGCTCACTTGATGTGGTGAGCTAAAAATTGAAAAAAGGTATTTTTTTAACATGTTTAGAGCCCCATACTTAACATTTGCGGCAAAGCAAACAATTGGCAATGACTGTTTCCCAAAGTTTGAGGCAATGTCTCAACTTGATAAAAGGGTAAATCAACTTTTACATACGTTACTATGGTAACAAAGTATTCAAAAGTTTAAAAATTACGTATTGAATTTAATGAAGTCATACACGTAAAAATAAAATGCAATAATAGGATAAAATGTGACCAAATAATAGAGAGAAGAGCCTTGGAAGATATACCAAGAACAAATTATGATATTTCATTTTGGTTGGCAATGGTTACCAAGGTTTTTGTAACACAAAAACCCTTAAATTTTACATTCTGTATGTTTAAATCTGACCCTATCTTTTATATAAGCACATTTCCTCATAACTGATGATCAATTTTTAAAGGTGTTGATGTGGTCCTAATTTTCCCATTTAAAAATATTCAAATTAGATTCTTTAAATAGAGCGTTGCTATGGAAATAAGTAGAAAAAATATGTTTAAAAATCTTTAAAATATTTTGTTTCCTTGGATACGTACCTGTAAATGTAGATTCCCAAAACTTTTATGATTGATATTTATTAACGGCTAACCTGACTTTTAATTTTGACTATCATCCCATCTGTAACTGGCTGCAAGAAGCTGGCACACAGGGTTTTAAATGTAAATATAAAATTGACAAAATCGAACATTTTCCCTTCTTGGTTACCAAAGCAACAGTGTTGTTTTCTTCACCAAATTTTATCAATATATAATATTCAACTTTAGTTCTGCCAAATAAGTACTATTCAAGGTGAGTCATATAATATGTTTCTTGATTTAATTGCAAGTAAAATCTTAATGCAGCCAAGAAAATTCACTTTTAACAACCCTGTACATTGTTCCCTTGGTAACACCGCAAAGTAGCAACAAATCCTAATTATTTCTTATGGTGTTGTTGTTCCAAGGTCCTAATGATGCACATTTGCCATTCCTGAATTTTCATGTTTTTCCTCAAGACAGTAGCATTAACTCAATCTAGGTAACTGATTTTGCTTGGTTACGCTGTGTTACCACGCCAACCATAAACGTTATATATACAGTGATATTGCTTATACCTACAAACTTTTTCATTGTTTTTCTTAAGTTGTTGATTGAGTTTGAGCATGTAACATCTACCATTAGTGAATACTGAGCATTTTTCAGCATAATTCAGCATTTTAAATGTACTCCAAATGTACCCTTGGTTACCACTTACTTTGAGATATATTCCAAACAGTTTCTTTACTGTATAAGTGGCAACAAGGTGTCATGTTTTCGTGAAAATGGTTTGTTTGCTTTTCCTTGTTTATATTAAGGCTCAGTAAAGATTTAAAGAAGCTGAAAACTAAATTTTTTAAACTTTTACGGCCGTTACCATGGCAACTAAGTCACATAGCAACAAAATTTTACTTGATATATGTTTCTGGTGTCAGGTACCAAGAATTGATTAAGTTTCATCAAAATCGGTGACCATGCGTGGCAACGAAGTTTAAAAAAATCAAGTAAAACATTTGAATCTAGTAATTGACATATATTTCAGTAATTGATTTTAAATTTTAAGTAAATGCTTAGTAATTATCTATTACTTATCTTTGTTATTTCAAGTAAAAAATGACTACTAAGTAAAACTTTTTTAAGAGTGGTTGTATTTGCGTATTGCATCACGACTACTACTAGTAATCAAAGCCGGGGCGAAAATATGCGTATAATTTTCGGGGTGGAATCAATCCTCAACACTAAAAATGCATTAAATTTAATGCATGTATTTTCCTGTTTTTTCTTATTATCGTCATCATTATTACTAAGTATTGTATGGTTATTATGTATTTAAGATACCGTTCATTCTGAATCTGTGATCAGAATATGAATTTCACAATACTAGTGAAAATAAATTGCTGGTCACCCTAATATATCTTCGCAATAAGTTAAATGATGAATAAAATTAAATTTTGCGTCTATGACATCTTTTAGATCTTGCATATTCCAAATGTCAAAATATTTATTTCGTACTGTAAAAGTTACTACGTTCAACAAATGACGTTGTAGACATAAATATTAAATAACGCCATAAACGCAACATTTTAGCAATATAAAAGGAAACTTTGAAATTATTTAGCGAAAAATCTAGCGAGAAGACATATTGATTTTTTTATATCAGTAGTTTTGATTTTACCTCATCTTGACATTTTGAAATTCCTGAATAATTCGTCTACGTCTTTAAAAAGTTATCCAACCTTTTTAAAAGAAACTATTTTCACAAAATTGGCTTAAAAACGTCATTTTCCCATATATGTCAATAGTAAAGCGTAAAAAATGTACTATTAACAGTACCGCGTTTACAGTAATATAGCATTAAAACTACTTAGGCAAATTTTATAAAAATTGCAGATAATACGCTGTAAATTCTCAGGAACATAATATCAAATTTTCAGGATATGTTTTCTCGTAAGAATTTTTATGCAGTAAACCCGCGACCTATCTTAAATAAAATTTTTGTGTGGCATTCCTCCTTAATAAAAGTTTCCCATTTACAGCGAAAATAATATTCTTATGAATAGGGAAGGTCGTGTTGCTTATCAAAAAGAAATATTTTCTAAAGTAGCTGTATATCATACCGGGGGTATACCACCACAAGTTTATTTTAAATTATATTTAATTTGTTTAAATTCAATGAGCGCATTAAGAATAAATCATTTTAAGTATAAGAATAATATTTTAATTAGTTAATCTTGATTTTTAAAGGTTTTCAGGAAACCCCCACTGCTGTACAGTTGTACAGTTACATTAACAATGTACCTACGTATGACTGGGAAATTTATGATCCACGGAGAACTAGACCATTTGTTTGTAAAAGAAGTAAGTCTTTTATTGAATATATGCCACATCTTTTTCAACCTCATCTAGAAAAATATCTCAGTGAGTTTCGCTTGAATATACTAGTATTTATGTCCTCTAATGCTAGACAAGCTCACCGCAGACATTTTTGCTAAATTTGTACAAAACAAATAAAACACAATCTTAGAGATAAAATATGTCATTTATTTAAATGATGTTATAAATGTAAACAATTTAATTTACACAGAAGGGGATCAGACTCACAAACTCTGATTGTAAGTTACGTAAATATATGATAAAGGTCTGACCCCTCGAAAAAGGTACATACAAAACAAGACGAACAAAACATCACAAAAAGAGCAAAAAGATGGCACATCAAAACAAAAAGTGTGAATATGTCATATATAGTTAGATCCAGCAGGGATCCAGAAAGAAACTCCAGTTTACAGTTTCTTTTTGGAATTAAACTGTCAGAGTCGGAAATTACTTTAGATCCCGTCCCCAAAGGATAACTCAGACTTTAAAAAGTTTAAAGCATACAACCCAGGCTGCATTTCACACACACACATACACCCTCACACACACACACACACACAAAACATTCATGCCTTTTTTCTGGATCTGGGGTTGTATTTGTTTATTTATTTTTTTTATTATTGGTTATAACTCATCTTCTAAAAAAAATTTGAAGCCATCCTTGCATATTTATTGTATATTTTTCGTACCACATGTCTAAACATATTTTAAAGGTGTTCTATTGCTTATAGTAAATGTTGCATTTTTTTGCTTCCATCAAAACAAAAAAATATAACAGTATTCTGTAATAATTCAGAATGTATAAAAAGATATCTTTAGGTTTTAAAGGGCTTTTGGTGTGTAATTTATTGTTTTTCAAGAGTTTTTCAACTTTGATTGTTTTCATTAGTTCTTAATTCATCGAGTGATAGTTGCGTGGTGTTCAGACGTGTGACTAGTAACCATGCTACAGAGACGACTGACATAAATAATGGTAAGAGCAAGGTAATAATATAAAAGAAAATAAAATTCCTTTTTATCTGTATCTCATACTGTACTTCAATGATGCAATATTAGTTTTTTTTTATTATGAGTGATATAAACCAAACCTGTTTAAGGAGGTTATAAGTAGACATGTACATGTGATAATTTTATCGCAAAGAACTTTATTCGGTAATAACCAATATTTGCCCCCAAAATCAAACTTTGATGGAGATATATTTAATTAAGTTCTTACACAGGGGGGTATATGTTAAAGCACTGAATATTTTCTTAAGTAATGACGTCATATGCACGTAATGACGTCACAAACATGACGTAAATTTCAGTTTTTCATGAATTCTACAGAAAAATGTACATTTTTCGTCGATATTTTGAGTAAAAGTCACCGAGTGCATGTGTGTTCCAATATTTTGATATAATGTGTCGAATGATAATATCAATGAAATATGTAAACCAAACATGCGCTGCTAAAATTGTTGAAATTTTGTCCATTTTGTCCTCTTTCTGAAAAAGGATATAAAATCGGACTAGTTTGTGACGTCACAAAAATTGTGAATAAACTACTTTGAAACTATAATATGTTCTGCTAATTTAAATTTCTCATACAATTTATTGAATTCAGCACATTTCAGGAAGTTTTCAAAATTTGACTTTTGTGGAGGCAAATGTATGCAATATACCGCATATAGTTCTTTGTTTGCTTGTATTAAGTTTATGTAACTAAAAGTGTCGTTGTATTACGGTTTTGCACGTCAAATTGCCTTTATATCTGAAAATATTAATAAACTTATCCTTTGTAGTTCGTCATTGGTTTTCCTAGTTTTTTTTAGAAATACTAATGTACAATTATTTCCTTCATTTGGGGTTTGTCTCCCAATTGTTTTAAGCCCAAGAATTGTATCTTTCTATAAACAATGTCTAAAATGCGTCAAACTTTTGACAAATAAGGTCATGATACAAAAGATATTAAATCGTTCAATGTCAACATGTAACTTCTATAATCGCTGTATCGACTTTGTTAGTAAATATAATCTTAATTTTCACATCACACTGAATTATCTACGGATTTTTTTGGTTGACCCTATCAGAAACTCCCCCCATGGCACCTATAATTCCAATTCTAATGTTTTCAAAGATAAATGTTTTGTCTGCCTTCTGTTGTACAAATGTTTTCTTGCATTTTTCTTGATGAAAATTTATCATACATATCAAATTTAGTAGGAATGGTAATTCCCATCGTTGCTGGTGGGTTTACTTTCATTATTTGTGTCATCACTGGGATAGTATGTTATATAAGGTAAAAATTAAATATATACATATAAATGTACTGAATAAGTACTCGATTCTTTTTCTAAACCTCTGTAAATTTTGTTTTCCTTTCTAAGTGATCTTTCTAAAAGAAAACGATTTCAATCAAAATTATATTTAAAACTTATACGTACCATGAAACAATATAACACAAAGTTCACATGTTTTATGTAGGATGCAGAAAAAGAAGAAGCACCAAAACTCTCCCACTGCTGAAGCTGTTGTGTATGATAATAGTGATGAAACATTTGTTTTGGAAACATTTCCTTCCAATGAAGCAAGTGAAAAGAAATTGAAGTACAGGGAAATACCTCAAAACGCTGGTACTGAAAGCAAATTGGAAAATAATGATATTATTGGAACACCAAGATTAGAGACAGAGTATGATCATCTTCATCAGAAGAACAGACCCAGTACATCAGCAGCAGATATCATGGATAACATGTACAGTAGCATACAAGGCCATCAACATGGAACACAAAGTTTGGTGGATGATACTTATGACCATACGGAATGGAAAGTAAATGTGGCTCGTCTCAGATAAATCCTAGTGTAGATGATTTTTACGATCAGGCTCAATTGTCTGAAAATGTGACGTCAACAACAGACGACTTTTACAGTCACGTGACGGGCGACAAGATCGAATCACAAAACATGTTGGTAGATTACCATATGACGGAACAGGGGAAATAAATATGGAACATCACTTATAGATAATAATGTGAATAATACTTACGACCAAGCACAATTTCTGCCTGAAACGCAGGAATCGCCTAAAAATAATTCTCAAGATTCTGAAATAGTTTACGACCAAGCAACATGACCTAAGGCCTAGAAAAAAAATATGTTTGTTTCCGCTTTCCCGACCGACCCTAATTTATAGTGCCGACCCTAAAAATTATTTTAATGCTTTTGTCCCATGCAGGGTTTCAGATTGGCGTCGGCCATCGGCCATTTGCCGATAAAAATTAAAAATGGCAGGAAAAAAATAAAATTTACCTGCCAAAATGGCCTATAGGTTTAGCATTGAACGGACATAATGGCCGAGTATGTAAAGGCAAGTCGTATAGATAGTTTAGATCTGAGTACATGTATTTTTTTTACTACTTTATGCAACTGCAGATTTCATCAGCCAATGACAATTGGGTGTAAGATGGTGCAAAGAGCCAAAAAGTAGTGATGAATCAATGTTTAAAACATGTCCATGCCATGTTGATATTTTTTACCGCCATGATTGAATGTGGGGTCAGACTAATAACAGGAAATGGACAATATTGCAAGGTTTTTTATACAAAGGAAAACATTTTTAGTCTAGGCAATATGTAAACGTTATTATACTTGTAATCAGAAATACAAATCTCATTTCTGGATATTAAACTACTTTTAAAACTTGAAATCCCAAGAAATAAATACATCTACATGTAATGAAAGGTGGGACTAATATCAGTAAAATACCCATTGAATGGAATTTTTGAAAAAATAAATCCCCCTTCTGTTTCAATATATTGATTTTGTTTAAAGTAAACAAACAATTATTTTCGGAAAATTCATATATACTTTTGATTATTTTAAGTAATTAAATGATTTTTTTTGTAAAAGTCTGACACAAATGTGAGTAAGTTTAACTTTTCTACATTTATTTCATTTCTGATAAAAAATTTCAATTATAATTAATGGCCGATTATTAATGATAATCGATTCTAATTTATTTTAAATTTCCCTTGACTTTCATGCAATGAGAGTCCAGTGAAAAGATGACTTTTAAATGTTTAAAAAAATGAAATGAAAACGATTGAGTTACACAGTATATTTTACTTCTTAAGTTATTTACCTGAATTTATTTAAGTATACTATGAAAGAATTCTTAAAAGAATTGTATATTTTCAACTATCACTCAGCTAGATAGAATGTTTTATAATTTATTGTTAACACTGAAAATGATAAATGTCCAACGGACCCGACACTTCTAATGGGCCTATAATTTTAATGTGAACAGAATAATTAACTTTTCTGGTAAATACTCGATGCCATATGTCCTATAGTTACTCATTTCAATCTGAAACCATGCCCATGAAGTGCAAGATTTCACCCAGGGAATTATAGTCTCCAACTTTGCAAGCTTTTCAAGACATAAAGAAGTTTGAGTCACCTTTCTATTGTAAGTTTAAGTCATAGAAATGCTTGAAAACACCATTTCTTTTGTCATTAATGTTACTTCTATACACGTTTTGATTAAAGAAGTAAAAAAAAAAAATTTCAAAAAAAAAAAAATTGACCTACCTACCCTATATTTTCAGCCTGAAAGCGGAAACAAACATATTTTTTTTTCTAGGCCTAAGCGGTGTTTTGTCTAAAATTCGATGGTAGCTTCTCTTTTTTTCACTAGCATTGAAATATGAAATTTAATATATGCAAATTATAACTTTGTTTCCCAAAAATTTAAATCTCCAAAAGTCAGTTGCCCTAAATAAATTAATACTTTGGGAATCTAACGTAAGTTTAAATGATAACTAATTAACATTTTGAAGTCTAAAATACATACCTGGAGACGTCAATCAATATGAGTAAATATTCTTCTTTAATGATCTTAGCTGGACAATTTTTGTCTAAACGCAAATTCCATCACCTCTTAATTATATTATATCATTTTCTCAAAATGTTAAATATGCCAACAATAAAAGAGTGCTGTACGTGCATTATACATTATGTATATCATCAATCTTAAAAAGCAACTTCATCAAAATGTAAATATTGATCGAAATTATATCCGCCAATATTTTTCTCAAAAACAATTCAGGAAGATACATATAAATGTTCGATTCCTCTCACATTAAGCTTAGATATAAATAGCAATCTTTCTCGTTCCCATGTAACTTGCACAACAGTTTTAGAAACCATTTAGTTCACGAAAAGTACCAATCATCACTGCAATGTTACTAACGAAGTTTAAATACACAGTTGATTCCACAGACGGTGTCATTTATGCAAATTTATGTAAATGAGAAATAGCAAAGGACAAGAATGGGTGCCTGTGGTTTCTCTTCCAATGAAACTACCCCAAGTTGTAATGAAGAAGAGTGAAGTATTTCAGTGTACACTTGTTCTCTATATGTTAGGTAACTCTGAAATCAGTTGAATACATTTCTATCTATATATCTGCATTTTTAATTGAACTGCTTCTTGAGAAAATAAAAAGATGTCAGCTTATAAAGAGCACAACTTGTGATTGTAGGAATGAATTCCAACAGTTTGTTGGAAAACTTTGTCTCCGAAAACCACATTAATAATGTCATTGAGAAATTACATCAGTTCTTCGGAGTACTTGTGTGTAGAATCAGTGACTGAATCACAAGGAACACGAGTCTATCACGGTATTTGGTGAGGTCATCGCCCGAAATATGTTTTATTTCGGGTATTTTAACTTTAACCCATTTTTTACAAGTCTGTACTTTAGGTTAATATTTTTAACCTCGACAGTAATCTGTCTGTAACCATTTCTGTTCTTCTGGTTGCGATTCCCAGTTCGACTGGAGATTTCGATGTGGTTTGCTTAAAGTAAAATTTCTGCTTTTGATGATGTCTTTGATAGTAGACGAATAGAGGTGTATTATTTGAATTTCTGAAACGAAGTTCTTCGGGGAAAATGGCATAGTCAAAAACCACGGTTTTGAGTTCACAAGCTTCCTTAGAGAGAATCGATGTGAATCACACGTGGGTTATCGACGATGTGAAAAAGGTGGAATTTTGTACATATAAAAAGTATACCATGTTTGTTATTTTTAAAGAATTACGGCGTATGTTCCATCTTGATATGTACACGTGTACACGTATATTGCAGGCTTTATCATTCAATTGTTCTAAGATTACATGACGATACTTTTATAGCGTCTTCGTAGAAAAATTCAGCTTTTAGTATTTCAGTTGCTTTGTGTTTTGCGCGCGCCTCCAGCAAACGTCATAAGGCCGTGAAACAACCTGTCCCATTACTTATGATGGTGATGTATGCTACAGACCCCTTATTTTTATGTCTACGGCTGTCTCCAAACTTGTATTGTGGGACGTTCTAGTGTTTTGGTACTAAGGATTACTGTCAAAATAAAGGTATGCATTTTTTTTTTCACAGAAAATGATAAAGCATTTTGAAAGGGCATGTTTCGTCACATTTGCTTAAAATTATTAATGAATTCATAAAGTATTTCTTTTACTTACCATAGTAATTTTGTTTTGCATTTAATTCTGAATTAATAACTTTTATTATACAGTGAACGCCACTTTACTCGTGCTTTGGGAATACTTCTGTAAATATGTCAACGAACGACCCCCCTCCTGGTAAGTCTTTAGATTTTTTTTATTAATATACTTCATCATTTTCTAGCTTTTTAAGATCAATTTTCAAATTGATAGCAAGAAAACAAATTTAAGATTAAAAATACCGAATTTCAAACCCTCTATCCCTCCTTTATGCTTATGTCACTAACCTACGCTATATATAATGTAACTGGTGGCGTTTTCATTTTATTTCAAGAATTTACGTTTTAAGCCTGTTAAAACATAAAAGAAAACTATCTTAGATCGTATATTATGCTGCTTGTTTCTTTCACAGAACACGATACCTTACGACCACATCAAACCCAGACTTTTTAATGACTTGTCACTCATTGTAAAAGGGATTCAGTGTTAAAGTTAAGAAAGCAATTTGTTATTAAAAGAGTGAAAAAATGCAGTTTCTTTTTTAATCACGAGATTTCCAGAGAGAAAAAAAATATTAAATAGTGTTTATGTATATATTTTTATTAAAGAGAGCCATGTGGGAAAAAGAAATTTTTTCATAATCTGAGAACTTCCTATATCTTTTCTTTCTTATCTCATTTTTATGGACCCGAAAATAGCACTTAACACAAAAATATAATGCACAATACTTCACAAATGGACGATAAAACGTAAATTATGTACAACACGTCATTAAAACTCTAAACTATAGGTAAAACTGACCAATGTGTTCGGCCATTGTTTTATACCTGACTGGAAACAATTGGACCTTAATTATGACGAACCACACCTGTCATATTTAGGACAGGAGTGATGGAACTAATTGACAAGCGGACGTCACAGGATTATTCCTTCTAAATTCTGACATTTTCTCTCTTGTTAGTATACGTACCGAATATTTCTAAAGCCACCTGTCTTGCCCTTTGTAATCATTTTGATGGAATGGTATTTAATTTTTCATTTATGATTTTCCATGTGAATAAATATGCATTTTGTACAACAGCTATTTTTAACATCAATGAATTAAAGTTTTTAATGAGATCCTTTTTTACTGTTAAGAATATCCTTTGTTTTGGTACCCCTATTGTAATCACATAATTGCATTTCTGCGAATAAATGATGAATTCAGATAAGGTGCAATCATAGAAAAAACAATGTGATAGCTATGTAAAAATATTTCCTTTGCTTTGTGGATGGGTATGATTTTTGCAGCTCTTTGGATAAAAAATCATTTCCAACACAAACCAAATGGCAGAAGATTCTTTACATATTGATATGTAAGGTGCCATAGCCATTGGAACTCGTATTATACAAGGAATACTAAATCAAAGTTCAAAACTGCGTTGCGTATCTCTTTAATAGCTACCAAAGTTATATACTTATATATAGCCTGCACTGGATTGGAACAGTTTAGACTTTTTGCAAATGCTTCGCAGAATACGCATTACTTTCTCTAACTTCACTACATGTATATATATACCTGTCCATATTTCTTGACTTCGGTTTACTTACAATTCCCATGCATATATAGGTCACAACACAGACAAACTTAGGTCATTATTTTAGAAACGATTTATTCGTTCGTTCGTGCTGCATGGTTACATGTACAGTATATTCTACATACTAGTATACTAGTATTCAGAAATGTAGGCTTTATTTCCTCATTACTTTTCTCCCTAACCATGCTAACCAACTTGCTTTAATTTCATCCATTCTTTTTCATCTACAAAGATACATACTTCCCATGCAATATCTTAAAAATAAATAAAATTTCAAACAAACTGAAAAAAATTATTCGCTGTGTTTGTATACTAACATGGAAAAGTGACAATTTTTATGTCAGGGCATGTCGCTTACACTTGTTAAGTTTATTTGCCCATGTTTATTTGTCAAACACGTGCATCCTCGGGATATGTTCGTGTACTTGTTATCCTTCAATTAATTAAGTCTAATTAAGAAAACATTTTTTTTAAACAAGGAAAAAAATAATCAGCGAAAGTTTAAATGATGACTGTTTTCCTCAGAAACGATGTTTCGTAATTCTTTGGTACATTAAAAAGGAAAGGAAAATAAAGTTTCATTGTGTTATATAAAAAAATAATAAGTGTATTATTAAAAAGTCCATGATGCCCTTAATCTAGCATGCTACCATAATGTTTAGATCAACAACAAGTTTTATAGTTTTTCACGTAAAATTCATCACTCAGTCCTCGCCTTAATTAAAATTTAATTAAGACTAAACAGCGGAGATAACGTCAAGTTTTAGAGTTGAATGAACATCTTTGTTAGAATTTCAGATATTAACATTGTAGGAGGAAATCCCAGACGTTTATTTACATTTCAATATAATGAACAATGTTCTAGAGAGGTATACGCGTACTACAGAAAAGCAGTATCAAAGTTTACTACCCCCTATGGCCCTATCCATGAATACCCTCATATGTATGTTTTTCCAATAGAATTCTGATTTTTTAAAAATTTTAAATGAACAAACAATTATATGCACTTTACTTTACCATGTTAAACTGCAAGTTTTCATATTGCATATAACACACTTAATGTACATGTAGTAAGACTTGGAAATATATCATGTTTATAATGAATATGTATATTTCTAAAAGTGAGTTATAAGCCCGATTTCCATGTATTATGCTTGTTTTTATGATGAATGAAAAATTGATGTTTTATACAAATGTTTTAAAAAACTTATTTACTTATATACGAGGGTCGTTGACCCTTAATTCATGTATGAAAGATTGTCAACTTTGTATTTTAATTTTTACAATTATCAAATCTTTTGAACTTTACTGTACTTTTAACAGATAAATAATTTCATTTCATTTTAATGTAATTTCCATTTTAGAATACACAGAAATAATTGACAGTTTTTCGGAAGTAGAGTTAAATGATATCAAAATCGAGGAGGACAATGAAGAACATGTCAAACCAGACCCTGTCACAGAGAAACAGACAGACAACAAGCACACAGAAAATGGACAGGCGGCAGAAAATTCACCAACCCCTAAATCCAAAGTTTCAAAAAGAGCTGCCTTTAAACAGATGGTTCGGCCATGTCTAAGGGAAGCAAATCCTCTGCCAGAAAACCCAACAATTGGTGATAAAATCAAAGACATGTTCTTACTTCCGCCACGGGGAATGGTGGGATTCATTTTACAAATCACAATCATCTGTCTACAAATCTGGGGGATTCTGGCCGCCATCACCGGAAGTGATGCGTTGCCTGGTGGAAATTTCTTCTCTCTTATTGTCTTGTTTGTTTTCTGTGTTATTTGTGGACGTCTGATTTCATTCGCCAATTTGCCCCCATTATTAGGTAAGAACATTAATTTTCCAAGAAATCCTTAAGTTAATGAGTTATTCAAACTTTTAACGGTCCTCTGTGTACTCCACAATTGAAGAGTTCCAATTCAAATATCTGCCCTTTGATTTTAGAATAAACTGAAATTTGTGGTGTAGTACTCTGTGTCATATAATTTCAAGAATCCTTTAAGTAACATTTATAATGTATTAAAAGAATATAAAAATAAAAATTTTAGTTTCATATGTTAAATTGATTGTTTCCCATTCAAGTAATCAGCAGTTATTATTGTTAATCAAGTTCGTTGTCTTTGAACAATTTTCTGGGAAGAAAATAGATACCTTAAGAAGATAATGAAGAATTTAATGGTTTCAAATCATTAGTACATGTACATAGACTAAGAAGACTCTAAATTTTCCAGTATGGTACAATATAACACAATACTAATACGTTCTTCTAAGCTGAATATATTTAATTTGTTGCTAGGTATGTTGATAGCAGGTGTCTTCCTACGTAACGTACCTGGAATCAAGATTATTGGAGAAAGCATCGACCCAAAGTGGTCTGGTCAACTAAGGTAACAATTTTGCTGAAGATTATTTTGTAGAATTAAAAAAAATGATCTTTGAAAATGTTATCTCTTTGTTTCATAAATTTAAAACAATTGCGTGTTATGTTGTATGAAAATGAATACTCAGGAAACTGTTATTATGTTATTATAGAAAGCTGGCACTGACTGTAATATTACTCCGCGCTGGCCTTGGTTTGGATATTGTCAAACTCCGGAAGTTGTCCTTCGCTGTCCTTCGTCTCGCCTTCATTCCCTGTCTTTGTGAGGCCATAACAGGGGGAATCGTCTCTCATTTTCTGCTAGGATTCCCTTGGGCATGGAGCTTAATGCTGGGGTAAAAATCTATTTGATTAAATTATATTTTTATTATTTAGGTTTAATTCTGTAACGACAACGCAAAAAATACAGTTCCTGCGACTTCTTTTTATTCATTAACTCACAATTGCATATTTTTCTACAATATTTTCAGATGTATCCTAGCAGCTTTGTCACCTGCTGTTACAGTTCCCTCCCTCGTAAGTCTCCAGGAACGTCGCTATGGTATTGCTAAGGGTATTCCAACAATGTGCCTTGCAGCGGGAGGATTGGACAATGTTCTCTGTGTGACCGGTTTTGCGGTGTTCGTAGGAGTCATATTTTCAGAAGGTATAAAATGCTGTACAAATTAATTTGTTTTAATACTGATTGACTACGGATAGTTCCGTTCACTTTATCATTACATAGGGCATTAAAACGGTCAACAGGGGATGTTTAATCCTTCTAGGCACCTGATTCTGCTTCTGCAAAATTAAGGGGTCCTTGTTTTATCCCCTCCTCACATATTTGTATTGTTTATGAGATTGATCACTGTTCCTTTTCTTTCCTTTTACTTTTCTTCTGATCCTATCCATCCAGAAGAGAACTATAAGTGTCTTTTTATATATTCGTATTCTTTACAGGTGATCTGGCTGTGACAATTGTTAAAGGACCATTGGGGGTTTTACTGGGAATAGCCTATGGATTTGTGGCTGGTTTTATGCTATGGTTTCTTCCAGGAAAAGATTCTGTGAGTAAAGTGATTCATTGAACTGTTATTCATTTAAAAGATCATACGTGTAGACATCAAACTTACCACACTTTTGAAAACTTTCACTTGACTGTTTTGTTTGTTTACGTGTCGACTATCTTTTTCTCCAGACAAATTCATTATTTTACCGTGGAATGCTGTTGTTTGGTTCCGGAATGATCGCTATATTTGGAAGTTCCGCTGTCGGTCTATCCGGAGCTGGACCTTTGGGATGTTTAACTACAGCCACTGTAGCGGCCTATAGATGGCGCCAGCAGAGACAACCAGGAGAACCTGTATGTTATACATATTTATGACTTTTCCCCCGAAAGACAATGATTTAAAATATGATTTTTTTGTACATGCTGCCTTCCTATTGCACGTCTTTTAGGATGAATTAGGAGGGATCATTGCGCTTGCGTGGTTGATTGTACAACACTTCCTATTTGGGCTTATTGGCGCGGCTGTTGATATTGGCAACATACAACCTAACACTGCAGGTAAATACACACTTTGCCAGTAGTATGTTTTAGGGCCAGTCAAAATTATTTCATCTGAAACGTCCAAAGAAAAACTGAAAGCTGATGATAAATACTTTGACTTTCCTTTCATCTCTTAGCCGCCAATTCATAATACAGTTATTTTAAAAGAATTTATATATTTTTTTAAAAGTTACTAGTATCTCTCTCCTGCATCGAAAAATTCATTATTATCCATATATTGTCTATATCTACTTTATTTCTACTTTATTTGATTAAAATATTTGTCGAATTTTTAGGCCTGGGTATAGCTACTTTGTTCATTGGATTGTGTGTTCGTAGTGCCGTGTCTTTCAGCGTAACCCTAGGAACAGGCTTCAATATCAAAGAGAGGATTTTTATTACATTAACATGGCTTTCTAAGGCCACAGTACAGGTATTCCTTTGATTTGGTTTATCTTTACTTAAGCCCTTAACTATCTGTTATAATTCTGTTAATGGATATTTAAATCTTTTTGAAATATTTGATAGTAATTTTGAGATATAATAAATACAATTTATTGACCAAGCTATTGACAAAGATAGAATCATACTCAGACCAATGAAATATAATTTATTTATCATTTACATTAGACTCTGCAAATTATGCAAATACTTAAAATAATCATCCTTGGTTTTGACTTTTTCCTTTAGGCTGCCATTGGTGGTTTGGCACTGGACAAGGCTTTAGAGGGGAACAATGAAGATGACATCCGGATGGGTACAGATGTCCTTACCATTGCCGTTTTGGCCATTGTGATATGCGCCCCCGTAGGAGCCACTTGTATGGGGGTGTTGGGACCCAGGTTCTTGGAGCATGGAGACAAAGAGGAAATTAGGGTGGAATGTAGCGGAAGCGCTACGTCATCATCGAATGGCGATTGTCAGAAAGAAATCGAAATAAAAACAGTGTCAGAAACTAAAAGACAATGAATCCAAAGACATTGTTTATAAAACTCAATTGTGCTTATTTTTACATTTAATTGTTTCTTGTGCCTCCATGTGTGTGTTTGTGTATTATATAAATACCTTTGTATTCATATTTTAGGTATTATTTTGTGATGTTGGAGAGCCCAATATCCCCTGACATAAGAATGATAAAAATATTTGTATCATTTGTTGTAAATAAATGAAGTTTAATTTGATAATTACTTTATTCAACCTGCAATTAATGAGTTATTATAATTGTACAATTTATGATTCTGAAAGATGAAATGATAACGTAAGATATGATATCGAGGTAACAAGTGAAAGGAGTGTTTGAAATGTTTTTGTCTTGGTAAACTTCTCGATCAATGATTGGGGAATACTAGAAAGCCCTTTTTTAATCAATTTCTTGAATAACAAGACCCTTGAACCTTGATTGTCAGACTGCCAGACTTGCTATAGTCAAAAGATCAATTTCACTCACTTTTTCTTTAAACAGTGTATTTTGGTCACATATTATTACAACAATAAATGTATATTTATAAAAACAAAAATAAACACTAATCAATGCAGAGTCCACATCAACGTAACTCCAGACATCACAAATACAAACTTGAAAACAAAATATGGTATAATGTATGAATCATTTATGTCGAGGGAAATACATGGAAATATTACAAGAACATCAAAACGTCACAGTTAGGTAAAGGGTTTTTTCCTCATTCAAAAATAAATTTTTGTTTTTTGCATCATGCTACATGTTATAAAACTTCAAAGGTACATTACCAAACTTATATAATTTAAATAAAATAATAATCCAGCCAGGTTTTATATGCCTTTTTCATGGTCAAGTTGCCCAGTCGTTCTGTATTGAGTCTATAGGTTTTACAAAAAACAAACAAAACGCTTACAATAGGAAGGTCTTCCTGTTTTACATATAATAGATGTACGAGATATGTATGCAAAAAGTACGTCTTTTGCCTGACGAACCTTCGCCAGACATATACATGTTAGTCGAATCACAGTTTCAGATTCCACTTTGGCACAAAAAAATAAAACAAATATCTTCAATATCCAAATTCAGTTCACAAGAATCCCTGGCCATATCAGGCTTCGGATTCTTGAATGGTATGCATCTTAGATCGGTTGGGTTTGTGAGGAGGTTCGCGGCGATGTTTAGGAGGCATGTGATTGCCTCGCCGAGTCCTCCTATCGTGTTCTTGTTTCCTGTTTGTTTGTTTTGTTTCTTTGTTTTTATTTTTTATGTATTTCCTTATTCTCACAGCGACTAAAATAAGAAAAGCCAGTCCAATTATGGCTCCAAGCACTATGGCGGCGATAAGTAGATCACGTGACAGTTCTTTGTGCTCCGCTAGGGTGCGCGTATCTCGTTTGTGACGAGATTTGTCCTCCATGGGAAGTGTTTCTTGTAAAATGACCTGCAAAATCTTCATGGCTGAGTGATCTGAAATCATTAAATTGCATATTATTGTTGCTGTTTTTGTCTATTCTTAGATACAGTAAAAGTTTTACGGACTTTTTATGTCGTTATTTTAAATATTGAGCTTTTTTAGTCATTTACTTAATATTGATGATTTATATATATATTAAAAATTTAAGTTTCATTTCAATTGAATTATTATCATGAAAGATTTTGCCACGTAGAATTTGAAATTTTTGAATTATTCCCGTTTCCAGTTTTTTCCTTATCGTGCTTTGGGCCTGGTTATCATAATGTGGTGGTTTTTGACAAATCTATTTTGAAGACTCAGAGAAAAAAATACTAGTAGGTTCATGATAATTCATGATAATTGACCCAATTTCCCAAAAGTTATTAGTGTTGCCATTAAACATTGAAACATTTACCGTTCATCGATTTTTTTCTGTCCGAATTTTCTCAAGCAAAGTGCTACTGCTCTGCAGCTCGTTGTTTTAGTGCGTGTGTACATTTATGTTAATGACTTGTAAAATTAAGTTCGAGTTTTATACTGATGGATCAATAATCGATGAAGTCATTACCCTGGACGTTGCCAAATTCTAATTATCGATTTTTTACGATTCTGCACATTATAAATTATGACACATGTATTGAAAGCTGAAAGAAAATGTACAATGTGATTTTCTACATGTACATTGTATTTCCTTGGTTTTTAAATATCTACTAGTATAATTCGAATGTCGGCGGAGGCATTCATATCACACTGAAACATCTTATCTTAAATTATTTCTCTTTTTCGGTGTTTTTGAGTGTTATTTACCTTTAAAAAAAAATAACAAAATTACTACACAAATATAATGTTTGGTGGAAGTGTAGGGGGTTTATTTTTTCGTACATCTCATTTTTAATATTTCAGAAATTTGATATATTATATTAAATATAACATATATCATATTAAACACAAGAAGATATCAAACAAAGAAAAACATCCATCTTCTTTAAATTAAAATAAAATTATTATTGCCATTACTAAAAGTAAAAGCTATAAAATGATAATAAAAAATGTTAAATTAAAACATTTTTAATAATAGTTGTATACAATTTTGTTTCAACTTGTCAATGACAATTTTCATTATTTGGTACAACCATAATTTCAATATAATCATAACTTTTAATTTACTGTCACTGTTTCATTCAAGTACAGTTTGTAATTTTACAGACTTTTGGTTAATAAACTGAATTATATTTGTTATTTCTAAATTCTTCAAAGTACTTTTTTCCATTATTAAAAATTTAAATGTAGAATTCCACAAAATTATATTTTAAAAACAATTGGCATTCATTCTAAAAAAAAAAGAAGAAGAAGAAGAAGAACGATAAACACTTCAATGGTGCTAAGTAATGTATAGATTTTTTCAAGAAAATTTTATCTGCGAATTATCCGACGAACTAAACATCCTCTTCATTCATAGTATTAAACAGTATTAATATCAAGTTTATCCTTGATTTCAGTCATTATATCGACTTTTTATTACTAATTTGGTAAATTAATTTGTCTATTTTAGTCTTAAATTTAATCAACTCACCATTTCAGTGTTTCTTAGCTCATCGAACCATCATATCCCAATTCCTTCGCGTAATTTAGAACTCCACAGAAAGATGAATGTTCTTTGTTTTGTAATTTCAACAGCACCTTGTCAACAGTTAAATACATTCTTCAGTAGTCAGTTTTCCCCTAGTATTCGTCCATGTACTTTATTGATCAATTGATTTATTGACTGGCCTAGAGAGAGTGGGGGACCGGATTTTAATTTGTCATGGGATTATCTGGGAAATATCTTTCTTGGTTTCTTACTTGTCTCAGGGGCAACAATCCGTGAATCCAGGTGTTTCTGGCCAGTTTATCCAGGTAAAATGTTATCTAACGTTACTAAATATAGATGTTTGATTGAAATACCTCCTCTAACTTAATATTAATTTACAAGATGCAAACACAGGGATGTTTACATTATATAAGGTCTGGTAGATGGGTGGTATATATAACTATTTATTTACAGATTAAAACGGTATGATAAACTTTGAGTCTATGAATTCCAAAAAAAAATATATGAGGCATTATTTTTTGAAGTGATCAAGTTATATCAAATATATTTTGAAAACTGTATGGAATCAAAGTTCAAAGAACTCTGTAAAAAGCTATTCCTCAAATAATTTTTATCAAATGATAAATATTGCATATATTTTTACTCAAAATCATATAATATATTTAAAGTTATTTATAAAAATATATTATAATAAAATAATAATTATTGTATTATTAAAGATATATTTAAATAAAAAAAGTATGTTATAAATGAAATCACATATTTTCGGGGTTTCAAATTTTGTGGTTTAAAAAAATATATCGGTTCAATGGGATTTGTTTTGTGGTTGAAGAATTGTTCAGCAAAAATATATGTGAAAAATTTCATTTCGTGGTGGACATGAATTTGTAGGTCTCTTATACCTTGAAAACCACGAAAAAAAACCCCCACAAAATTAGTGATTTAAAAGTATATTATAAGGTTTTATAAAATTCTTTTGATACTTATTTTTTGTATCTACCTAAAACCTTTTTTAAAAATATCTGCCCCCGCCTTCTCCATAACTTCAGTACTAAAGGGACTGATGATACAAAGAAATTGATGCCTGGATTTGTTATATTTCTGTGCCTATTTTTCTTGCAATGATCAAAAAAAATTAAAAATTTTGGGAAAGAAAATCCTTGTGGTTTTCAAAAGTTACCTTTCTCCCAACAATCCTTATTAATCTAAACGTCAAATATTTTTCACTTCAAATTCCATAATTGTAATTTTCTAAAAAATACAAAAAACTATGGTTGGAACATGTTCATTTTATTCATTAAAGCATGACTCATGTTGTTATTTTCAATTTTTAAGACAAACGTTTGTTTATATCATCTGTCTTTAAAAAAATACTTAAATTCAAAAAAACCTCTATAATTGATTGGTAATAACCAACCAATTCACACCCCATTCAGAAAGACCCCGCAAAGGGGCAGTGTTACACCAGAGGGATTTAGTAACCCAAATGTCATTAAGTAAACCAAATACTAGTAATCATTTCAAATCCTTTAAGTTTATGGCCAAAACATGCACGCTACACTGTAACGATAAAAGGAATTAGAATCATTTGGTGGCATGTTCACTATTGATACATGTATTAATAAGTCTTAATTTAGTGTAATAGTTATTGTACATATAGTAAAAAATTACAGCAAAATAAAATTTGCAACCCAGACGTGAATAATCATGTAGGTTTATTTCATGTACAAAGTTTTTTAATTACCAATAAAAGTTCAAAACAATTTTAAACTGAAAATCTATTACACACATGTGTTTAAGTAAGAATGTGAATCGCACATGGCACTTTTGTGTTCTTTTTTAATGGTTAGTAGCTTATTTTAGGTAAACGTTTTGTATGCGTTCCAAATTTCTATGGTTTATTTCGTAATTATAAATGAACAGAAATCTTTTTTGTAAAATTCATTTTTCAAGAATGTTTAAAATCATAATTAAAATTTTGGTTGTGACTTAGTTTAATTAACTAACCAGTACGTAAGTTTTGGCGATAATGAAATGCCAAAAAACAATTACTTCAATAATGTTTTCGTATATATATAGATTTCTCAGAAATTTTGGGAAAAGGTGTAAAGCAGAAAAAAAAAAAAAAATAAAAAGAAAGAGGGGGTAAAAAAGGGGAGAAATGGTGTGAAAGAAAATA